CAGTTTTGCTTCCTAATCAATAAAGCCAACAGTCTCAAGGTTTGGCAAGATAAAGCTGCTCGGTGCTTCTCGTGAATTCTGGGAAGGCCACAGGAAGTAAAAAAGACCTTAAAAATTAATCCATACCAAAATATTCAGCAAAGGAATTTTGAAACCTAAAGACAGAAGGGTATATAACGCCTCGGACCTCCACCCAACTTGCTCCTCAGATTAGTGGAGAGCCAGCTTGCACTTGCATAAGCCAAATGAATAGTTTGCTTGCCCTGCTTCTTTAATAAAGGTGTGTGCTTTAATTGCTTTAATAAATTGGCTTTACACAACACAATCTAGGCCTCGCCTATAAACTCATTTCTATGAGAAGACAAGGATCAAGGTTGGGGCAGTCCTCTCCCACTGACTCATGTCAATAAAAGGCGCCTCTAACAATATGAGTTGCCATATTAATCCTCAAGTAAAATAAGAGTTTAACTAGAGAATTAAAAAAGGGAGGCTCAGAGAGGCAGTGACCAGCTTCCGTAAACTGGAAGATCCCAGAGTAAAGGCCTGACCCTCCAGGCCACAAACTGATTCCTGGGAGCAAGGGGGCAGCAAGACTATAGAAACTTCGTAAAAACCTCAGGAAAGTTAGGGGAGATCCCAGCGGAGAAGGAACAGTGCCCAGCTTCTCAGAGTAGTGTCCATAATGGTACAAATCTTATGGAGAAGCGCGTTTATCTGAAAGCAATAGATGAAGAAGATACATAGGCTAGTTGTTGGGCCCGGGGAGGTCCCACCACGTCCCAGTCTGCATTCCCGTTTCCTGAGAAGTGTGCAGGGTGGCTGAGAACCAGCCAGCAGCCGCTGGGGATGCAGAGTGAAGGGAGTGTGTGTAACAATCTGATGCCTCAGCAGAATCACAAGGAACTCAAGGGAAGTAATGGCTGTAAGGACTGAAGCCCAAGGGTCAGATAGAGAGAGCCACACCTCCGCAGGCACTGGTCAGGCCACAGAACTACTACACGAAATGGCATAAACCAGGAAGCTTGTAATCAGCAGCAATTTGTTTCTCACAGTTCTGGAGGCTGCCAAGTCCAAGACCAAGGTGCCAACAGATTCAGTGTCTAGTGAGGACGTGTTTCCTAAGATGGGCTTCTTCTCACTGTGTCCACTCAAGGTAGAGGGGTGGACGAGCCCTCTGGTGTCTCTTCTATAAGCACATTAATCCCACTCATGAGGGTTCCATCCTCATAATCTAATCACCTCCCACAGACCCTCACCTCCTAACACCATCACCTTGAGAATTAGATTTCAACATAGGAATGTTGTGGAGACACAGACATATGTCTATAGCAATCCACCTGAGGTACCTCTGGGGGAAAGGGCAGAGATCTGAAAGAGACGGAGTCTTAAACCAGAGCAGACTAAGGAAACTTGAATTGGAAAGACGGAGTTTTCCATTATCCAGTAAAAACAGAGGCTTGCGACTTGTATTAATTTTAATTTATTGTAATAGATTTATACTTATTTAAGTATATATTTATACTTTTCCAAGTCCTTACTCTATAAAAAATGAAAACCTAAAGCATTAACACCATTTACGCATTCAACCAAAAATTGAACGTCTATTCCAAGCACTTTGCTGAAAGCTAGAACTATAAAGACAAATAAGCTGTCATTAAGAAGTGCACGGTGTAGTGCAGGCGGCCCTACAGTTACATGTGATAAGTACTGTTGTAAACGTATATGTATTTGTTTCCTGGGGCTGCTGTAACAAATTACCACAAAGTTGGTGACCTAAGACAACCGAAATTTATTCTCTGACAGTTCTGGAGGCCAAAAATCTAAAGTCAATATTTACTAAATTAAGAAATCCATGGGGCATATGCAATTCACACACAATATATAAACCTGTCCAAAATAAGGTTTAATAATCTGCCAATCAAAAGAGAGTGATTTTCACATCTTTTATATAGGCACATAATCAAAAATCTGAACTAGAAAATTGTTGCGATAAAGCTGCTGCTAAATAAAAACAGTATTTCAGCAAAACACTGTTTTCTCTTTGCTGCTTATTATCTATTGAACTTTTAAAATGCCTAATTCTTCCCCTGACCAGTTTGGCTTGGTGGATAGAGCATCAACCTGCAGACTGAAGAATCCCCGGTTCCGTCAAGGGCACATGCCTGGGTTTCGGGCTCTATCCCCAGTGGGGGGCATGCAGGAAGCAGCCAATCAATGAGTCTCTCTCATCATTGATTGTTGAGGGCCACTAGTAAACATTCTGGCATCTTTAAATATGTCGGCTGAAACTCAGAGCAAAGGCAGAGCCACACCCTGAGGGCGGACCTGGTCAAGAGACTGGGACACCACTCAGTTTGACCTTCCTGCCCAGTGTTAAGGGGATGGATCTCATGATGTCACCAGGAACTCAAGGCCCACTCAGATGTGATGTAACTTCCTGTCATTTGAGTATTTATTAAACTTTACTTCCGGTGTTAGCCATCGTTCTGTCCCTCCATCACAGGGCAGACGCCACACCCAGTCCCAGCTTTCCTCTATTTCTGTCTCAGTCTTGTTTTATTCATTTTCCTTAAACCTCGTCGAGTTCTACACAAGATTTCATCAACCCCGAGTTCTCACTCTCTGCCCTGGTCGTGGGAAGAGAGAACCCCCTCCCATAGTTGATGTTTCTATCTCTCTCTCCCTCTCCCTTCCTCTTTGACATCAATAAAAATATATTTTAAAAAAAAAACAATACTGTATTAAAAAATGCTTAATTCTTTAAATAAATTACTTTTTAAATCAACCTATGCAGCCGACATTGGTATTAGACTTTTTTAAATTTTCAAATTACAATTTACATTCAATATTATTCTGTATTAGTTTCAGGAGTACAGCAAAGTGGTTAGAAAATCGTGTACTTTACCGAGTGCTCCCCCTGCTGCTTCAAGTACCCACCTGGCCCCCTACCGAATTATCATGATATTATTGACTGTATCCCCTATTCTGTAATCTACATCTCTGTGACTATTCTGAAATGCCAATTTGTACTCCTTAACCCTTCACCTTTTTCACACAGCCCTCCCCAAATCCTTCCTCCAGCTCTGAAAACCATAGGCCTGTTCTCTGCATCTATGAGTCTGTTTCTCTTTTGTTTATTTTGTTCTTTAGATTCCACATATAAGAAAAATCATATGGTATTCGTCTTTGGCTTATTTCACTTAGTGTAATATCCTCTGGGTCCATCCATGATGTCACAAAAGGTAAGGTCTCGTTCTTTTTTATGGCTGGGTAGTATTCCATTTGTGAAGCACCACAGCTTTTGTTGTTGTTGTTGTTGTTTTCAAACTGTAATAGAAAGTTTCTTTAGAAAGTCACAGAGGTAGAAGTGAGCAGTAGAAGAAACAGGCTCAGGAAACAAGTTACAGAAGCAAAAGAAGGGCCCTTGGAGCTTAGGAGGGAGAATGCAAGAAAACCTCGCCTGGGGAAAGGAGTGGGGAAAGGTACAGCTGTTTTGCCCACTCATCTATTGATGGGCACTTGGGTGGCTTCCATATCTTGACTACTGTAAATAACAGCGTAATGAACATAGGGGTACATATATTCTTTTGAATTAATGTTTTGGGTTTCTTCAGGGAAGTTAGCAGAAGTTGAATCACTGGGTCATAAGGCAGCTCCACTTTTAATTTTTTAGGAAACTCCATGCTGTTTTCCATAGTGGTTGCACCAATCTGCATTCCCATCAACAGCACACCGGAATTCCCTTTTCTCCACATCCTTGCCAACACTTACTGTTTGTGGATTTACTGATGACTAGAGGCCCAGTGCACGAATTTGTGTATGGGTGGGGTCTGGCCAGCCCGCCCTAACGGGGGTCTATCAAACCAGGCTAGCTGGTAGGGGCGGCGATCGGGGCCCAGATCAGGCTCATTGGCTGCCACAGTGCATGTCATAGCCACCAGTCATTCTGGTCATTCCGCCGTTCCAGTCATTGGGCTTTTATATATATAGATAGCCATTATCATAGGTGTGAGGTGGGATCGCATTGTAGAATAACTTTTTTGATTAAAAAAATCTCTATATTTGGTTGCATTTTATTAAAAAGTATTGGAATCTTTAATCAGGGCATTCAACAAATGGAGGACCAAAAAACTTCAGCTTGTGAAAAGTTTCAGGGAATTAAGGTTATTGAATAAAGTTTATAAACAGAGAAGCAATGAAATATGTCCCCATGAAAGCAAGGAAGTGAACAAATGTAACAACAATAGTTTAAAAAATGATATACAGAATTTTGAAATTCTATAATTCAGTGGTTCTCAACCTTCCTAATGCCACAACCCTTTAATACAGTTCCTCATGTTGTGGTGGCCCCAACCATAAAATTATTTTCATTGCTACTTCATAACTGTAATTTTGCTACTGTTATGAATCGTAATGTAAATATCTGATATGCAGGATGTATTTAGGCGACCCCTGTGAAAGGGTCGTTCGACCCCCAAAGGGGTCGTGACCCACAGGTTGAGAACCGCTGCATTACATTTGAAATATCTCCAGTTGGGAAAAATCTTTTGATGGAACTCCTATTTTAATTGGATAAATAGGCATGCTATTCCCGAATAGAGTGGTTTACTCAAGAAGCCTACGCTTTCACAACATTTAAATTTGGTGAAATGTTTTAAATAAACATAAAAAAACATAACTTTCTTAATGAGTTTGTCTTACAAAACTGCGTATCAAAGAAAGGTAAACTGAGTCCAAGAAAAAATATGTGGGCTAAAATTGTTTCTCCTTTAAAAATATTAAAAAATAGAATTAAAAATATCCTCCACTTAGCAGAGTTTGCTCTGAGATTATGAAGTACTTCAAAGAGGATATACCGTATTCTCTTTAGAATGAGGCCCCGGAGCTGGAAGGAACCCACCACACCTCTGGCGGTGGCGCAGGCCCGCGGGGCGGGGTCAGCGCGAAGGGGCGGAGCTTCTGAACGAACCGCAGCTCCTCATTGGCCGTGGAGAGCGCAGGTGGGATCCGGCTCGGGGGCGGGGTCGAAGGCGGAGCTCGGCGGACACGCGTGCGGCAGACGCGGCCCTCACCGGAGGCCTCGGCCGGGGTCGCCGGGTTGGCAGCCCGCGCGGGGCGGGCGCGGCAGCCGGCGGAGCTCGGAGCTTTGCGCGACCCCAGCGCACGGCGGGGCGGAGACGCCGTCCTCGCGGCCCAAGCGCCCGGAAATCGGCCGCATACATTCTCCCTCCGGGTGCCTTTCCCGTCCTCCTCGGAGGCAGACATCGCCCGCGGGTCCCTGGCCCCGGACCCGGAGCCTCGCGGAGGGGCGGTTGGGCGGGAGCTCGCGGTGCGCGGCAGCGCCCTGGCGGTCAGCTGGGCGGCCGAAGACCCTGGCCTCCTGCGGGCCTCCGTGGTCAGCTTCCTCAGCCAGCTTTCCCTGGGGGTGCGCACCCTGCAGCGCTTCGGGCCCCCCGTTTTCCCGCTGAGCCCGGGCTGGGAAGAGGGGCTGATGCTTCCTGCCGCCTGAGTCCTGCAGGAGTTGCACTTACATGGGGCCCGAATCTTGGGCACTTGTGGTTCATTGTTTTGTTTGATGCTTACGTGTTTGTCACTGCAGCAAATAAAGCCGAGCGACTAAGATAAGTAAATGCCCTGGCGCCTGGCTCAGTTGGTTGGGCGTCCTCCCGTGCGGAAAGGTGGTTGGTTGGATTCCCCGCCTGGGCGCACGCCCAGTGTGCGGTCAGGGTCCCCGCGGGGAGCATGCAGGAAGCAGTCAATACATGATCTTCAGCTTTCACATGTTTCTCTCCCCTTTCCTTCCACTCTCTCTAAAAATCCATTTTTTAATATCTTCAAAGATAAATAAAATAGCCCTGGCCAGTTTGGCTCAGTGGATAGAGCCTTGGCCCACAATACAGAAGGGTCCTGGGTTTGATTCTGGTCAAGGGCACGTAGGAGGCAATCAATCATGTGTCTCTCTCTCCCCCCCTCCCTTCCACTCTATAAAAATCAAAGGAAAAATATCTTCAGGCAAGGATTAACAAATAAATAAATAAAATAGGGTCCTCAGAGGAAATGCAAGTAAATGTCAAATGTTTCCAATTTATATACCATAAAATACAATTTTGAATGTTATAAGCAATTTCATGAAAACTTTAGAACATATTGAAAAAATGCATTATTTACTCAGAGAGGAGGAGAAACAGTCATAGACGTAGGGACAGATCCAACTAAGAAACTAATTAAAATACAGTAATATGGTTCAAGAAATATAATTATTATGCTTGTGTTATTAAACATTCAGATAATATATCTGCTTTAATATTTTTAAAGAGACTTAAAAACAATTTTAATGGAATCATTTTAAATGTCCAACAATAACATAAAACTAGTTTGTTGATCAGTAAGTAAATATGAAAAAAATCAGGTGATTTTAATTCTTTTTAACAGCTCTTATTCTCAAAAATAACTTGGTTGCCCAGCTGATGTGGGTCAGTGATTGAGCATCGACCCATGAACCCAGAGGTTGCACGTTGGCTTCCTGGACAGAGCACATGCCTGGGTTGCAGGTTCCATCCCCAGTAGGGGGCGTGCGGGAGGCAGCCGATCAATGATTCTCATCATTGATGTTTCTATCTCTCCCTCTCCCTTCCTCTCTGAAATCAATAAAGATATATTTTTTTAAAAATAATAACTCAGTTGACTAATTTGATTCTTAATTAAGCTCAGCCAAAGTCCAGATTGTATGGCAACATCTGAGAGTGGAAAGGATGCCTCTTGGGCTATGCCGAGAGCTGTGTCCTAACAGTTCAGAGAATGGGACAGAGTACAAGAGCAGAAAACCAGTGGGCCAGATAGGTAGGGTATCAGTTCCCAGCCACACTTCATCCAGAGCAGCCCAGCTTCTATCTTTGTCCACTGGATTTCCGTGTAAGCTCTAATGTGAAGAACTGGTTCTCTCGCTAAAAATAAGCTTGAAAAACACTGCTGTGGGCAGTGTCAGGGATGAATTTTAAGCAGGGGAGAAACATGATCAGGTTTGCATTTTTAAAAGTGACTTTGGCAACAAGGGAGGGTGGCCGCTGTGCAAAGTAAGCACTGGGATATGTGGGTTAGCACGTGCATAGAGGACTTAACTGTACTCAGGTTTAATGCCATGTCCTTGGCTTTTACAAAAGACCAAAAAAATCATGTTTCAAAGCCCGCATGTGAAGATCTGCACATTGAAGTGTGATTAGCATTCCATGAAAAGTTCTGTTTCTTCAGACAACCTAATTTTATTTCAATTACAAATCAACAAGAACTCTATTACATAATGTGGGGCGGTGGGGGGGGGGGGGGTTGATGTAGCGCTCTAGATGCTCAGAACTAAATTAAATGTTTGGCTGTAGCAACTAATTTTTTCTAAATACTTACAATACAAAAAGTTCTTCTACTTTTGTTTTGCCTTTTTTCCCTAAATTGTCACTTTGAATATCTTTTGGAAGTACTGCATCTAAATCATAAATAATATAATGATTGCTAACATTATATAGGGTTTACATATTCCAGACAATGTTCTAGATTCTTTGTATGTATATTAACTCATTAATCCTCACCAAAACTAAATATGGAACTCTCCCTGGCTTTGGGATTAGTGAATTTATTTATAATACACTGGAGACACCAAATAATATCTGTTTCCATTTATCACCAGTATAAACTTAACTAGTCATCAAAGCATTGAAATAGCCAATTTCAGAAAATAATTCCAATGAACTAAAAACTGAATCACCAGAAGTCACCTCCAAAATTTTCAACTCTCTCATATATAAAATAAGAATAAAAAATAATGATATATACTCTACCTGGTTTGGCTCAGTGGATAGAGCATTGGCCTGCAGACTGAAGGGTCCGGGTTAGATTCCCGTCAAGGGCACATGCCTGGGTTGCAGGCTCATCAGCTCAGGCAGACATTGATTCTTTTAAAATACAGTGCAGATCCTATTACTCCTCTGCTTAAAATTCTTTAAAATAGGCAGAATATTGACCCCTCAAAGTTGTTCTGATCCCTAGCACCTATGAATAAGTTCCCTTCCACTGCAAAATGGTCTTGGCAGATGTGGTTAAATTGAGGATTTTGAGATTTATTCAAGGGGAGATTACCCTTGGCTTTCCAGATGTAATCACAAGGGTCCTTAGAAGAGAGGCAGGAATGCAGAGTCAGAGATGTGACACACAAGGAGAGGGCTGAGTGGTGCATTGTTGGCAAAGGGCCAAACGATGCGGGCAACCTTCAAAAGGTGGGTAAGTCTGGGGACAGATTCTCCCCTAAAGACCCAAGAAGGAAAGCGGCCCTGCCATCACTTTGATTTTAGCCCCATGTTACAGGTTGAATTGGGTCTCCCCCCAAAATATGTTGGAGTCCTAATCCCCAGTACTTCAGAATATGACCTTATTTGGAGATAGTCTTTGTAGAGGTAATTAAGGTAAAATGATGTCATTAGGGTAGGTCCTATTTCAACATGACTGGTGTGTATACAAAAAGGGGACATTTGGGCACAGACATGCACACAACAGCAGGTGAAGATGAAGGCAGAGATCATGGTAGTACCTCAACAAACCAAGGAATCCCAGAGATCGCCAGCAAACCCCAGAAGCTAGGGGAGAGGCGTGGGACAGATTCTTACTCACAGCCCTTGGAAGGAGCCATGCCTGCCAACACCTTGATCTGACTTTTACCCTCCAGAAATGTGAGACAATAATTCTCTGTTTAAGTCACCCACTTGTGGTACTTTATGATGGCAGCCCTAGCCAACTAGTATATTCCATTAGAGCCATTTCGAGTGTCTGACCTCCAGCACCGTAAGACAATCAACTTGTGCTGCTCTAAGCCACTAAGTGAGTGGCAATTTGTTACAGCAAATGAAACTCTTATGTCTCCAAAGAATCCCCATCAGAAGCCCTAAAGTCAGAAGTTATCACCATAGCTTACAGTCTTCCGACCTGACTCTTCATCTCTGACTTAATCTCCCACTACTCTTCCCCTCACTTCCTCTGTCCCAGCCCTACAGGCACCCTTACTGTTCTTTGAACACCCTTACTCATCTACCCCAGGGCCTTTGCATTTGCTGCTTCCTCTGACTGAAATGCTCTTTATCCTCACATGCTGCCTAACTTCCTTCATATGTAACCTTGTCAGAGAGGCCTTCCTTCAGCATCCTATATGAAACAGCACTCTCTATCTCCTTCCTCTACTTTATGTTTGCAGGTACCACCATTTGACATGTTATAGACATTTGTTAATCTGTGGCCATCATCTCCCTTGCCCCTATGAGAACAGAAGCACCTAGAGAGCAGGAGTTGTTTGGTCCGCTCCTGTGTCCCCAAGGTCTACAACAGTGCCAGGCACATAGGAAGCACTCAATACATCTTTGTGGATTGAATGAATTCAAAATTGCTGCTATATTCTGCCTCTACAATTCTTTCCACTTAAACTGTTTCAGTATTTTTGTCTTTGAGCATGTAAACCATGAAACCATAGGTTCTGGGGCCACCAATCCAATACACTCACCCCATGTGGCCCTCGTCAAAATAAACCGGAAGGAGATGAGCTCACCTGGGAGGCAGCAGTACAGATTTCCTGCAGAATTTCAAAACCTTTCAAACCGGATAGTCCAGATCACAACAAGGCAGACCACGCCTGGCCAGGGAAACCAGTCAAGATGTAATGACAGTTCTGGACTTATAATTAACCTCAAAAGCCTAGCTGGGCAATTAAGCCTAGGTCTGGAACAAGATATTAAAATAGTGTAATGCAGTAAAATATTTTTCATCCAGTAATAAAAGGGGATAGGCTTTAGTTGTTTTTAAGAAATTCAAAGTTAATCATAGGTTTCAAAAGCTCTCCTGTTTCCAACTTTAAATTTTAACTAGGATGTAACTGTGGTTGTAAAAAAAAAGGGGGGGGCACTCTCATAATAAAAGTTATAATGTGGGTATACAGGCTGGAGAATTCCTCTTGAAATAAAACTCCCTCCTGATTCCATACTCTTATGATTTTTTCCCTTCAGTTTAGAAGTCCAGTCATGCTCCACATCTGAATATAGATGTGATTATAAGGGCTTTTGTCTTTATCTTTGTTTTACCCATAAAGTTATCATCCTTTGTTTATTTGGATCACCATGTCCATAGACTTAGGAGTTATAAAGCAAACATAAGCAAAGGAAGGGATGGATGTGTCTGTCTTGTTCTTAAGTTTAAATGAGTGTCTTCAGCTACTTTTCATTGCTGGACATACGTACATCGGCCCATCAATAGTATAGAACAGAGATGCTTCTAGATCCCTCAAATCCCCAGGTCCGTAACTGCCCTTGTGAGAGGAGGAATGTGTATGCCATCCTAGCTACTTTCAAGGAGGGAGAAGGGGCTAATCTGATTGGTCAGAATCCAAGATAATCAGTTGAACATGTTTACTAATATGTTTTGAATAGCCATTTGTCCTGTGCCAACCTTTAGCTCCTATTCCTTATCTACAGCAGGAATAGTCCCTGAGTCCGGGCTGCCCTGGGACCCAGAAATCTCACTCTTTTCCATCACATGCCTGGACTTGTTAGTCACCAATAAAAGTTTCTCTACCAGGAAGCCAGAC